CACTTACTTAAATGTAGCATATTTGCTACTTTATGCTGCATATGGACTCTCGCTCTCTTAATAACGAACAAATTGTAGTACATTTTTTACTAAGAAAGTGTAATCCCAAATATGACATATGTTACATTTGACCACTTTCTAAATGACATTGTGTAATCATAGCTTCGGCCGTGGGAGCCAGGCCAATTTACACTTATCAGAGGGGTACACAAAGTCCGCAGTCTCGACTACCAGTTGTCGAACTTCCATTTTTGTGGATTTCCAAAGTTTCAGTGATGTAGCTGATCCTTGTAGCTTGATGACTTTAAAAATGAATTAGTTGATGAGGGTATACCAAATTCGTCTATAACTCCACATATACGGAAGCCATGGATTGTAGACATGCTAGAAAAGCAAGGAAAAGCCAAATAATTTTTTCCGCCATCACCTAGAGACAGTTCATAACTTAAATAAATTTAAAACACTAAATGAGTAGGCATTCACGTTCAAACAAACAAACGACACCCTTTGCGAAACTGTTTAAAAATATTACTCTCCATGCAGGTAGCTGAAGTAGCTGAAGAAGTGTCTTCGGTCCCTAGTTTGGTGATCCACCCTAAGTTGTTGTCTATCATTATAAAGTTACATGCTAGTTTTAAAACTCTAACTGTAACATTGTATATGTAAAGTATATTTTTATGAGTATATAGCTTCCATAGTAAAGGTATGGCTGACAAGCAGAAAAAAACGAAAATTGAGTTTGCTTCAGATAATGGTAGGGACTTTAAGTTAGTTTTTTCTTTCGTGAGATACATTCAGCCTTAGGCCAAGCTAACATTATATGATACTGCTACATGTGCTGATGATATTCACTATGAGTTACTTGAACATTTATCTGATTTATGTTTAGAAACTTTATTAAATATATTCGACAACATCTGGACAACGGGTAATTTCCTTCATCATGGCGAAATGCTGTCATAATTCCAGTACCGAAACCTGCCCGTGATCATATACTGATCCTTCCAATATCGCATACTAGCTGCCTCTGTAAAACATGGAAAGAATGCTCAAAAACAGATTATTATGGTACTTAGAAACAGGTAATCCGATTTCAAATATTCAATGAGGTTTCAAAAATGGAAAACAGAAGTACCACTGACCATTTAGTTACATTGGTAACTTTCATTAAGAATGTTATTATTAATATACAACATACTGAATCTATATTTTTCGATTTAGAAAGAAGTTTACGATACAACTTGGAAGTATGGAATTTTTATAGATCTTCATGACATGGGGCATGGGACCGTTTACCAAATTTTATAGCTCAGTTCTTAACAGACTGGCTTTTCCAAGTGCGTGTAGGCTCCACCTTGTCTGACTTTTGCGACATGGATCAAGGTGGCATATTGTTAATAACGTCGTTTAGTATTAAAAACATAATAGCCTGTCCAAACTTTTACATGAATCTGTTGGTGTATCATTATTTGTAGATGATTTTAATGTATCATGTCGAGGTAAAAATATGCATTGAGACAGCTGCTGGTGTGCCTTTAGAAAATCAAAGATTGGTCAGAACGTAATAGTTTTAAGTTTTCAAAAGCTAAAACTAATTGCATTCATCTTTATAAACCACATGGGGACTAAGAATTACATCTAGCGGGCATTCCAATCCAAGCTGAAATAGCATCTAAATGTTGGGAATATTATCCGACATTTTAACTGTTTTAGATTACATAAACAAACAATCTAAACACAAAAAAATTATTACCTTTTCACTTTCTGCTTTTAGATGGTTAAAAATCATTCATGTCAACAGTTTTACTCGATGTTGTTGAATATATGCAATGATCTTGCTACTGGCTAATACGGCATTGTCTTCTTTGGTTGACCACTCATGTTGACAAACTGAGTAACGCTAAGGCTGATGCTGCCGCAAAGCCAGCTCTCAACAATCCTGTGACACCCAAGTAAATATCAATAATTTACACAGTAAATTTCCATCACAAGGGGTAAACATTACAGTGCCATAACAGTAAAGGACCTTTTTGATACCTTTCATTCTCATTTAATTGTATGTTTTATAAAAGAATTAGATCTCATTCATAAATCTGGATCATATAAACTGTTAGGATATGATTATCAACAGATTGTGGCTGTGACCTCGACGTGGACTGAAGTACCATAAAAATATTTTACCTTGAACGGGTATCATTCAAAATGTCATTATAGCTATCATTGTTTTAATCATAGAATATATGTCCTTTTAATGTTCAGCTAATTTGAGTACAATTGCCAGCGGCTGAAGGGATGGTGTAAATCTAGCGGGGTTCCATCACAGGCAAATTGTAGCACAAATAGGGTTGCGCAAGAAAGAGAAAATGACCAGGCTTCCTATATGCAAGCGAAGCGAGCAAAGGTTGGCAACGTGCTTCCCTCACTTCGGTTCGAAAAATATGTTTAATATCAAAATAAAATATCGATATCATCAAAGGTAGACACTCATTTCCTCATAGAGTTGTGCTCTCAGATTTCCAACCTCATATTTACTAATTACTCACATACAATATATTTTGTTCAACATTTTAAGCGCCACTCGTGGCATGTCAAATCGTTCTTCGCCTCCATTAGCCCTGTCAACAGAGTGAAGGAACAAGAATAAGCAGAAATAAAACACAAATATCACATTGCATATTTTTACCGTTAAACCGTTGGAGATTATTTTTCTGATCTGCCGTCGTTAATGTAAGAATTTTCGTAACGTCAAATGTTTTGGCGTGTAAATAGCTAAGTGGAAGGAGAGAACTGAAAGGTTTCAATGTTCTGCTCCAGAAAGGAGCACTACCACCAAATTCAGTTGAAGCCAAAATTGTTGCCATGGAAACGCAAAACCCATTTTATTCAGAAATCTAAAACTACCAAAAGGCACCAGTTCACCACTAGACCTACCTATGTATAAAATTTCGTGATGAAATAGTGAACAGTTTTTACGTTCTGCTCCGGAAAAGAGCACTACCACCAATTTCAGTCAAAGTGAAACCTGTTGCCATGGACAAGCAAAAAATATTCTATTCAGAAATCCAAAACTACCAAAGGCACCAGTTCACCACCAGATCTATCTAAGTGCCAAGTTTGGTGAAGAAATATTGCACGGTTTTAGAGTTCTGCTCCGAAAAGAGTACTAGCACCTGCAAACGCGTTGCGGGGATAAAAATATTTTTCGAACCGAAGCGAGGGAAGCACGTTGTTAACCTTTGCTCGCTTCGCTCGCAATTAGAAGACTGGTCGTTTTCTTTGTTGCCAAACCCCATTTGCGCTATGATTTGCCTGTGATCTGTGTAACATTGGTTTAAGACACTGAGGTAAGCAAACATGTATTCACATACGTGCGGCTGCCATCTTTGCGGTTCAATTTATTTATGCATATGAATCGGAAATTTTGCCAACGCCAAAACAATAGTGAGAAAGTATATGCATCTTTAGATATGTCGACAATGTGATATCGTTTAATATTAGTTAAAATTCCTTTCTGCTGGTTTAACGATAGGAGCAAGAAATTCAAAGACCAGTCTGGCCTTGTTCCATATATTTACGGATATACTTTTAGAGTGACAAAATATTATCAACAAGCTGTATGACAACAGTGATACCTTCAACTTTCCCTTTTATGCCTAGCGGTACGTATGTCCCAAATCCTTCAAAGTAAAGTTAATCTCTCCACTCTTTTAATCGTAGAATATGTGTCATTTGAATATATGGCTAGATTTATCTGAATTGCTCACAGCCGAAGGGATGCTGTAAATCCAGCTAGGGTCCATGCAGGAAGCAAATGTACTGTAATTCCCCATGCTCTCTACTATGGTGATCTACCTTGAGTTGTTGGGAGTCTATAGGCTCAAATCTTTGCAGGGCATTTAGAAGTTGACATCCATAAATCTTTCTTTTCGTAATCTATAGCCTGTATATATATATAGTGTATCGTTCTCTTGAATAATATCGTTTTACTGCTCTTCTCATGCTTTTAAAATTCAAATGTTATTAATCTATAAAATATATGTTATTGTTCCCTTCACGATGTGGCTGAAATATTGCCGATGTCACTATAGATATTAGCCCACTCACTTTTATGCCTAGGAATATTTCTACGGCTACAGGAATTTGTGTCCCCTTTTGACAATTTTCAAGTGAAGTCGAGCATGTTCTTCCTACAAAGTTTGACAGAGCGTCGCGCAACTCTTTAACATTCAAGAGATCAGTAAAGTTTCCATACTGTATTATCTTGGACTTTGTACTTTGTACCAGCCTCTACATATGTTTGTTATAGATGTCACTTCAGGGACAGAAAATTGATTTCGCGAATACCTCTCATTTCTCTTTGATAATTATTCGTAATCAATTGCCTATAAAAACATTTTCGTTGAGATTTCAAATGGTAATGGAAATGGTTCTGATCACTTTCAGTGACGTGAGGCATCAGCACAAACATTTCACAGACAATAGAAATTCAGCTGTAGGCAAAATATTCAAATTGATGTAAGGGCTCTATTTCTTCTCCTTGTTTACTCACACTGAGTAAATATGTTCTGCGGTAGGTAATGGAACCATACTGTTAGATTTCCAAATATACATAAAGTGCAAAGTGTTAATTATACCGAAGAATGCCCCCAACCATTAAACCCTTTTCGAACTTAAGTCCTATCAGAGGATTAGATTATGTTTAATGTCATCTCCATAGCAACATACACAGATGTAATACAGAAAAAATAGGAACGTATCATTCAATTGAAACCATTCGCCTGATAAGATGTTGAAGAATAGAACGATTACAATCTTGACATGCATACTGCAATTTATACCATGGAGCATATGTTTTAAGTCGGATGGAGAAGTTGCTGACATAATCCTAAAAGACTACAAAGCCCATCACAAACCCATCGATGTGGTTAACATTAGAATTGAAGCAGGATTGTTATCGGTACAAGAACTTTGATAACAAAAAGCAGTTTCTTAGCAGCACCATGTGGATGGTCCTCTCGTGGAACGACCAACGACTTATTTTGAATGCTTCGTTGAGTGCACAGAAAAGTATTCTTGTGGACTCGAACAAATTTTGGAAACCTGAGGTGATCATTGGAAATAGTATCAAAGGACAAGAGCTGCTGCATAACGGAGGGTCTCTGCTGGTTACCAGTCAAGGAAATATTCGATGGCTTCTCGCAGGGCCAGTAGAAACCAGGTGTTCTATCAACATTTACAAGTTTCCATTTGATACCCAGACGTGTTCAGTTGTAATAGTTGGATGGTTCGGTAGCAACAATAAAATACACATCTCCAGTGAAACAGGTATTCATATGGAACAATTTGAAGAGAATAGTGAGTTTGAAATTTCTCATGACATTGATCACGGTTACAATGAAGGGAAGCTAAGTATAACCTTCCATTTGAAGAGACGGCCTCGGTTCTACATCTTCACCATCCTGCTCCCCGTTGTTCTGCTCTACTTCCTCAACAGCTTCGTGTTCCTGCTGCCTTCACAGAGCGGAGAGAAGACCAGCGTTGCCGTGTCTGTCCTCCTCAGCTTCCAACTGTTTCTGTCCATCATCAGAGATTCCCTGCCAGAGAACTCCCTGACCGTCAGCCTCTTCAGCCTCTACGTGTCTCTGGCCAATTTCACCAGTGTCGTCATCGTCGTTGTCAACATCCTCCTCCTGAAAATTAAAGAGACACCACTACCGAAATGGATCTTAAGATTGTGTAAAACAGACTCTGCTTCAAATAATGTAGATGTTGTCAATGTCAATGTAGAGGATGAAGAGCAGAAAATGCCACTCTGGGCTGATATTGAAACTAAACTAAACAAGATCTGTTTCATGGGCTTCTTTGTATTTAGCAGTGGTGTAACAGCTGTGATTCTTGGGATGTTGACGAGATGAAGTTGATGGCCTCCTCACCATCTATTTCCTATTGAGGAGACGTACTGAAACAGATTTAAACTGAACCTGGCCGACCATAAGTGTGTCCTGCTACTGAAACGTTGAACAATTCTCTGTTCGTATTGAGTGTATAAAGGTGGAATAACTGAGGAAGTTCAATTAAATGTTTGTACACTTTCGTTAGAAGACAGTTTCCTTCTTTAAACGAAGCCAGCCAATATTTATGGTCCACAAGACTTCAAGTGAGACTTAAAGTGACAATGAATTGTGGTATAAATTCAACGTAAACGCAAAAGAATAATCAGTCTTGATTAACCAACTCAACAAGATTCCAACGGATCATTTGGTTAGGTTAAATTTGTTAGTTAAGAATTTAATCAACCATATCGTGACAAAAACAATATATATATTCATGATACATAAAATTAGATTATAGACAACCTGTCTACAAAACAACACAGGTATAGATGTAATCCTAACATATAACACAAAAATCTTCTCTTTGTTTTACTATTTAGACAATACAATATAAAAATGGGATATAGATTCCCAAACTAGGCTCCATGGGATTTGTACTACTTCTACTAACTGCACTGAACCTAGTTGGATTTACACAATTCCTTAAACGGCTGACGATTGAACGATTAACCATTACTTGAAATTACAAACATACTACGATTATAAATCCGGAAGGCCTAAATTTGCTTTGAAACACTCAGGGGGAGAATATTCTTGCAATACTATAACCCCTTTCAGGATAGTCACTAACAATCTCAGTTAATTTAATCCACCAATTATAAAAAAAAACAACATTTATCTATTCACAAAACATATTATTGAAAAAATTCAATCAATTTTATTTATTTCTAAAAATGAATAATTAAATAAAGACTGACATTATTAAACATATCATTCTATATATTGTAAATTTCTATACAATCAAGCAGGACATGCCTGACTGTAATTCTTTCATCACAAGGGATAGAGAATGGAGAATCTTCACCTTTTAATGCATATTCATGAGTATATCTTGTATGGCCAATGCAACACGTCTCTGCAAATCTGGACTGAGAACCCACGTTGGTTTAACTGATAATTGTGTTTTTTGGTAATTTATCAGTGTATGAAATAAGCCTAAACTCCAGCCAGACGTCAGGGCTGGTAACTTCAAAATGTTACCAGTCCAAAATGGATTTAACCAGACCAGACACCAATATATGACTCAGAAGTATTTTTTTACCAGTTCATCGGGCTGGCTAGCTGTAAATCTACACTGTCCGTCTGAAATGTAACCCGTCTCGGGCGGTCGGACGGGCCTTATTTCATACACTGAATTTATTGATACCTATATTGATGTACAACTTCTTTTGCATATATATCCCGGATTTATAATCGGAGTATGGCATGAGAAGCGGTGTCACAATTTCGTTGATTCAGCTGTCTTAAGATGACTGGGTAGCCAACAGAAGATTGCGCAGTTACAAAAGCATTGGATAATTCAATGATGTCAATGAGGGTGAGTTTAAAAAATTCAAAAGTCACATCGGCAATATTTCAGCCATATCGTGACTCAAACAGGTCATAGGTTAATAATAGATATAATGTTGTAGCATACAATCTGTCAACAGAGGACAGTAAAACAGCTAAAGGCACAACAATTAGAGATTTTAAACTAGCATTTAACTTAAACATCATATCACTATTAAGCACAGTACAATATAAAAACGGGCTGTAGATCGGATGAAAAATACCTTGAATAAAATCGGACTTATTTACCCGCTCAGGGGGACAACTATTTTATGCTACTTCAAGCCCTTTGAAGGTATTGCTACTAACAGTCAATTTAGTCATTCTAACAAATTCGGTTACTAATTACGATACATATGCAAATATATCATTCATATATGATGATTTGTAATATTGGTCTGTTATGATGTTTCCTCTTGTCACTGGTTTTAAAATGGGATGGGATTAAACGTGGTGTTACAGGAGCTCCTATTTGGCAATCGAGAAGATATTGTTCTGGATCCAATGACAGTGGCACAATAGAGTGTGGCACCATCTTTGGATCCATCTCTCTATATAGATTTGTATGTATTATATTTACTTCAAAATTGAATGAACTCTTGTTTGTACTGTAATTTACTGGTTTCTGATTTCTTTAGTTAGTGTGGTCAGTGTTAGGTACACATGTGGCCTCTCCAAATGCGAAGGGGCAGTGGGGTAGTCTAGTGGTTAAAGCGTTTGCTCGTCACGCCGAAAACCCGGGTTCGATTCCGCACAAGGGTACAATTTGTGAAACCGATTTCTGGTGTCCCCCGCCCTGATATTGCTGGAATATTGCTAAAAGCGGCGTAAAACAAAACTCACTAACTCCAAATGCAGAGAAGAAAGCAGGCGGAAAGGATAAGTCCTAGTTCAATGTTAGCGGCCGAGAGGAAAAATTTAATTTGTAAAAGGGGAATAAGTCTTTTGTTATACAGATCATCATAAAGATCATTAAAACACAGCTGTATGCAGGATTGGACTCATTAGAATATAGGTTTGTGACTTACTGAAAAGATTATTTGATACGGCGTTGTTTAAGAGACTCGATGGCTTCCACATTGTGACTGCTAATAGGGGATGTTAGATCCAAGACAAAGCATAAGGCCATGAAGAATGAGAGCGGGTGACTTATTATTTATCGTCACATTGGCAATATTTCAGCCATATTGTGACGAGAACAATTTATAAATAAAGATGAATACATTTTGAAGATTAGAGTGAGTGATTGAGTTTAGTTTTATGCCGCACTCAGCAATATGCTAGCTATATGGCGGCGGTCTGTAAATAATCGAGTCTGGACCAGACAATCCAGTGATCAACAGCATGAGCATCGCTCTGCGCAATTGGGAACCGATGACATGTGTCAACCCAGTCAGCGAGCCTGACCACCCGATCCCGTTAGTCGCCTCTTACGACAAGCATAGTCGCCTTTTGTGGCAAGCATGGGTTGCTGAAGACCTATTCTACCCCGGATCTTCACGGATCTTGAAGATGCGAACCTGTCGGTGATGAACAGTAAAACGACTGGCGTATCACATATAGTAAGGTAGAACTAGCATGTTATTATAAAAATATGTCATTAAAGTGAACAATACAATAAAAAAAAGGGGCTATAGATCGCCGAGAACTGAAGGATAATCCCCACACTAGGGACCTTGGGGACTTCATTCGCGACCTGCATGGACACAAACTGGACCGTTGGCGACCGTTGGCAATTTAGCCAAACATTAAATTGAATGAAATGGGACTTACATACCCTCTCAGGGGGCCAATCATTTTATGCAGAATCTTAAAGTTTAAGGTTGGTTTTGCAGGTTCCACTATAGACGGTCGAGCTTTGAACGGTTTAGTGCGCACACAGATAAAGGAGGGTTGACTGGTCACTTCAACATTTGGAATTAGAGGTGAGGTGAAATTGGGTTTTACGTCGTGCTTGAGAATATTTCGCTCATATGACGATGTGCATGTGTGTGTATGTGTATGTGCGGCTGCCTGTACTAGCCCAGACTTAAGCTGGTTTTATAGTGCAAGCCCACTGAGATGCCATGCCGCAGTGAAGCATGAATACCCCACTCAGACACATTATACTGACTCCGAGCCGACCAGTCCTCGCTGTACCCATTAATGCCGCGCGTCAGGCAGGGACCAACAAGTACCATATTTAACGTCTTTTGGTATGACGCAGTCGGGGATCGAACCCGCGACCTTCCGCTCACCGGGCGGACGGTCTAACCACTACACCACGGAGGCGGTCTTTGGAATTAGAAACAACTATTAATAAATCGAGTTTCTTCAGGCATTTATTCTTTTAATATTCGATATGGGGAAGAAAGGTCCAATGCTAATAACCATGCATTTGGCTTCTTCGATTAGTACCTTAGTACAATTAGATTTAGGGAAATTTAATCCGTTTTCTAAACACCAATAACTGGTTTAATTTACACATAGCTGGAGCTGCCTTTCAGTGGCATTTTTATGATCATTCACTTCTGGTGTGATATTGTTGAAATATTCCTAAAAGCGGCGTAAAACTTAACTGCGAGGTTAAAGACTTATTCCTAAGAATAAGTTTCAGCCTCCCTGCTCCCCATTCGCCATCGAGTACCAACTCAGACGGTGCTGTCCTTGAGGCAAGCCTACCACACCAGGAACGCCATACTCCAGAAATCAGGACAAAACGATGTTGTTAATAAAAGGATGAATGTCAGAATGGCTCGGCCCGAGGCATTTTCCTCTAGAACTCAGAATTCAGTGTCCATATCACCAGTTTGGTCCATGACCCATTTCCTTCTGGTACAGGACTCCAGGAAAATTATAATTATATACAATAAACAGGGATATATTGACGTTAGATTTGAACTCACTCGATCAAATTGTTATATTTGACATTATTAAATACACGCTGCCTATGCACAGGACATGCCATAAACAACCGATTGATAGAACCTGATCCATTCTACCACCCGTCTAGGTGAAGCAAGGGTCTTACTGGTGTGTTGGGTAAAAAGAACACTCTTTCTAGCTCCTTTGTCCTCAAACACCAGAATCCTCCTCCACCAAACCACGGCAAAGAGGTTGCCGAATTTAGTCTCCTGTTGATTGAAACATATTTTATTCAATTAAGAAACGGATTTGGGCACAAGTTATCCGACTTAAATAAGCCCGCTCCACATAGTTGCAAGTGTATATTACAAGAAAAGTCGCCTGTTACAACAATCAATGGGCTGCTGAGGACCTAATCCACGCCGGGTCCACACGAGGGAAGAGATATTAGCATTACACAGTTGGCACTACGAGGATATTCTTCACACAATTTTGTCAGATTGTTTTAACACAAGTCCAGTCAAATTGATTCTCCGCTCTCCTGGCACTATATCGCTCAATCAACCTGGCAGGTGCAAGATTGTTTGCAGACAGTATCATTTCATACAGGTGATGACATATGATCAGTC